GGCAGTTGCGTGGATAAGACGCAAGTTAACCATAAGTAGCCGTTACGCATTAACCAAATCCAGTTGAATTTCGTGTGGCAACCTTTGAGGAGCCTTAGTAAACCTATTTAATAGCCGCAACGACCACGACAACTTTGGCATGCTTCACTGAGCATCAGCAACAGCATTATTAACAACAGCAGCAGGAGCAGCAACAGCAGGAGCAGCTTTACTGTAAACTTGTCAAGCTGTTGTGGGCGTGGTCTGTTGACTGTTCGCCCAGGCAGCAAGCAACAGCAATTTCGGAGCTGCAACAGTTGTTGTTGTCGCTTTTGTTGTTGCTGTTGCTGTTGTTGTTGTTGTTGCTGTTGGCATTGCTTTTAAGCTTCGTTAAGAAGCACTTTGAAGCGCTTTGGCTAAAGCTGCGCAAAATGTCCTTGCAACCAGTGTCAGTTGCTGCTCCTGCCACATACAGATTCTACTTTTATTTGTCGTATAATTTGCTGCCACAAAAAAAGAAAAAAACCAAGAAGAAGAAATTGTTGCTTCATTGCGTTTTATGTAGCAGCGGCTGCTGCTGTTGTTGTTGTTATCGCTGTTGCAAATTGCTTATTTATATTGCAGCGCAAACAGTCGAACTTTGAGTTCCCCGTCTTATGGATCGCAATCGTAATGTCCGCACAACTCAGCATTGTTCCCCGCTCTCGCTCAGCATTTGATTGGAATTTATATTAACAGCAGCTCATGCATGCAGCATAAGGTAATAAATTTCTTCTCTGTTTAACAACTTGAAAATTCAGTTGCTTCTTTTTTCGTTGTTGTTTGTTTGTTTTCGTGTGTGTGTGTGTTTCGTTCAACTATCAAGGGAAGCACAGCTTAATCGCTCAATATATAACGCCGGACAGATGGGGTAGTCGAGTGCATTAAGTGAGGATAAAAAGGTTTGCCTGAGTAGTACGAGAACTTTAGATGCTGTCAAGCTCTCTTACCTTGCATAGTGGATACTAAAAAGTTTTCATATACACAGATGAAGAAGAAGAGAATGTTTAGCTAATGAGCTCATTTGTCGTATTATTCCTATTAAGTGTCTCTGACCAGCTGAGGTCCAGGCTGAGTTTTTCACGCCAGATCGGCTATCATTTTTGTCTGAATGAAAGCATTATCTTTCTCTAGTCTGTCACTATCTGATCTATTTTTCTCTATCTTTCTGTTTTCTCTCTCTCTTTCTCTCTCTCTCTCTCTCTCTATCCCACTTGTTTCTTTTTTGTTTCAATCTGATTTCTCTGTCTCTTTTTATCTTTCGCACAGCCTATCAACCTCCCACAGTAATTAGCTGCCTTTCTTTCTACTTCGAGATCTGTCTCTCTGCATTTTCCTTCTTTGAATTTCAGATTACCACTACTTCTATTTCATAGTTCAGTTTCTCTCTCTCTCTCTCTCTCTCCCTCTGTTTCTTCCTTTATTTTTGATTTTCCCCCTCCCACAATATCTCTCTCTCTCTCTCTCTCTGTCTAGTTCTTTATGCTGTACGTAATTCTTTCTCTCTATCTCACAACTTACCTCTCGCCCTCTCTTTCTCTCTCTCGCACTGACTTTCTATTATTCTCGGGATAGCTCTATAAATCTCAGACTTACTTTGTCTTTCCCCTATCCTATCTATACTTTCCTATCCCTCTCACACAGTATTGCGTATTACTCTCTTCTCTCTCTCTCTCTCTCTCTTTTCTCCTTGTTTCTCTCTCTCTATCTGACTCTCTCTCTCTCTCTCTCTCTCTCTCTCTCTCTCTCTCTCTCTGTGCCTTGCTCTACTCTATTCTCTCACTTTCGTCATGATTTATTTCTATGTTCTACAATCATTCTCTCATCCTCATTCAATTTCAATCACAAATCCTCTCTTGCAAGCACCTCTCATTTACAGGGTATTTAAGCGCACTCTTACTGCAGCAAGCTTCCTTTCCACCAGTGACTGACAACTTGTCGTTTGTCACTAGGAAATTCAATGAATATTTTCTGCAACAGCCAACAAAAAAAGGAAAAGCAAAAGGCAAAAAGGAAAAAGAATCCGACACAGTTCCTGTGACAAAGAAGCAGCAGCAGCAGCAGGAGCGGCAGGAGCGGTGAAAACTTTACAATTGGCTGCATTGCATGCACACATGAGATTCACATCAGAGTGAAAGTAGAGGAGCCGTGCAGGCTGGCAAAAGCATTTTGGGCAGCCAAATGCAATGCAAAATTTATTTTTGTCTCCAAACAGTTGTAAATTTGTTGTCCATGGGCGTTGACAACTGGCCTGAAAGCCAATCGATGCTGCAGCATTCTGTGGCCACGTTTTGCGCTTAAATTCTTAATTGCAATTCTTGTCTCTGCTGCTGCTCTTGCTGCTGCTGCTGGCACAAAATATCAATAACAATAAATTGTAAATTTTCTTTTGAGGCCAGGCAGTAAACAGAAATAATAAATTTTTTTCTACTGCTCCTCCTCCTCCTCCTGCTGCTCGATTCGGGCGAAAAACAATTTGCCTTTATAGAGAGTTTGTAGAGCAGCAACAATTTGTCTTGCTTAATCTCAGTTCATTAATTTAAAGTGCTACTCGGAGCAGGAGCAGGAGCAGGAAGCAGGGAGTGGCAGAGGCCGGGCTGTAGTTGGCCTGGTCAAGCAATTGCCTACAGTTGTCTGCAGCGTTGTCCAAACATCTTTTGGGTCTTGCGGTTTCTTCTTCTTCGTCAGCTCCAAACGGAGATGGAGTGAGACGGTGTCTGCCATTTGGCTTAGCATTTTGCAATCATTGTCTACTTCTGGCTCAGCGCCTTGGCTTAGGGTCAAGCAGTGGGGGAGGAGCCACTGGCCACACTTTTGCCTCGTTTTTAATAATTCATGGACCATTCCTGTGGCTGACCTTCACCATTTCACCATTTTGGGCTTAATTCCTATTGTGGCAGCTGCCACAACTTTGACACTCTTAAAGCTGAGACACACGACCGGCTCAAACTTTATGTCAAATGCTGGGCGTGGGCATTACATATATGTTTATGTATATATGTATATGTCAGAGTTTGGCACACAGATTTCATTTCAAGTCCTGACAAATCTTGTGGGCTATCGAAGGGAACAGTGACGGATTGCGACTGGAGAGCGTGGCTGCTTGGTTTTTGACAATCAGAAGAACATGTGTTCACATAAACAATGAGTGGCTAGGGAGTCAACTTTTTGATGAGGAAAAATTGCGTTGCATGAAATGTTGCAAGTGAAAAGAATTTGAAAGACAAATAACTTAACTAAAAC